GTCGGATTGTGCCTTGCCGCCCATCTGCAGGGCACAGTTTCACTGTCCCCCCCTTGTCAACGATGTGGTAAAAGCCGTGTGAGAATGCCCCCCGCAGACCAGCAAGGAAGCACAGTCAGCCTCTGCGCACCCTGCTCAATGCCAACAGGGCATATGCCACGCTTCCTGGTTAATTTACCCTGCGCCTCACACAGAGCCCCAGTTCACTCGTGAGTGTCTCACTCTTAAGTCTCAACTGTTAGCCGGTGGTTATTAAACACTTGAATAAAGCTTCCAGTAAAAGAAAACAATCAAAATAAGCAAAGGTCAGGAGTTTAAAGGATAAATGCAGGCAGCGAAAGAATCGATGTCTACATTAAATAAAAACTAAAAGAGAAGGAGGCAAAAAAAAAAAAAGAACAGTGAGAGAACAAGAAATGCGTCTTTGTGATTAAAATATAAGGTTGTAAAAGTAAAAACATATATTCAAAGATTGGAATATAAAGTTGATAAGCTCTTACAGCAGAAAGGGGGAAATAGAAGAGAGAAGACAAGAAGCTGGCGGGTAAATCCAGGAGACCCTGCATGTAACTGACTTGAGTTCCTGGAGGAGCGGACATGGGAAAGAGGGAAGAAGTAACCAAAGAAAAAGGCCCAGGGTTGGAGGATATGAATGAAGAGCAGATCCCAGAAGCTTCCAGCGAGGAAAACAGATCACGGGCAAAAGAACCAAGAATCGGGATCTGACTTTTCACCAGAAACTCTGAGGCAAGGAGATTGTGGAATGTGGCTTCCAAAATTCTGGGGAAAGATTATGTCCAATCTAGAAATCTACAAAAGCTCACTGCTCCTGAGTCGATCCTGACTCACGCCGGCCCTGGAGCACAGAGTCGACCAGCGCCCTGGGGGTTTGAAGTGACTCCAGCAGAGCAGTCAGGAGGCCGGCCCAGGAGCGGCGGCGTTTCCTGCTGTCCTGCACTGGGGGCTGGGAGTCCAAAGCAACTTGGGAGCATCTGACAACAACAACAACAACAACAACTCTTTACAGGAGCGCAAAGTCTCATCTTCCTCAGCCCTTCAATTACTCCCACATGTGCTCATTGGCCATGTTGGCACAATAAGCCTACCTCTCACAATCCACCCCTTGCCAACTTGGCACCCGTACACAATTCTTTATCCATATATAATTTCCAGACATGAATGAAATCACACTTATACTTAACATCAAACATCTATCAT